AATGTTCTTGTTACTTGGCTTTCGATACCACTTTGTCAGGTAACCGCTACTTGATAGGTTTATTTGAACGTCCAAAAACGGAAGCCAGTTTTCTCTCGGCTTCTCCCGGGTGAACTTTATGTACTCAGACTGCTCGTTCAATAATTCAAAGCATTTGTCCATCTCCTCCTGCGTAGAGAAGACGACAAAACAATCATCTACATATCTGCAGTAGGGTAGTGGCCGGAGATCGAGAACAGGGGCTTCTATCTTAGACATAAACACAATGGCCAGGCTTGGTGCCAATCGCTGTCCCATTGCCAACCCCCTTATTTGCGCCAAATATTTCCCAAACCATCTGAAAATCGAGCAGTTTAGGCACTCCTTTAAGAGAGCCATTAGCTGCTGGATGGACAAGCCAGGCGATACTGCCGAAACGTCAGCTAGCGTTGCATTGTATTGTGCTTTTATGGAAGTAAATGTATGCTGTTTAAAAACCTCGCGATTGCTGAACAAGAAAACGACACATTCATATTCCAATGCCGAGGTTAAGAGAAAGTCGATCCTGAGAACTATTACAAGATTTACCGTCATGTGAGCCTCGTAACCGTGATTATCCTTTCTGAGGGCTGAAGCGCTATCCACCATACCAACTCAAGCCTTTGCTTTAGCCTTCTCTCAGCTAGTTTTTCACTCTAACTGTGCTATCAGCAACTGCTCGCCTACGAGAGTGATCTGGACAGCACAAATCGGCATCGAATCCAGATAAGCTGAAGCTATAGTCGAAAACACAATTTGGTGGATAGTACGTGAGTTTCCAGAAAGAGTAATATCAGTTTCGAAACCTAGCTAAAATTGCGAGTTTTGCGGATATCTCAGCATTCATGTGGTTTGTATTTCATTTAATGCCTTACCATGAAAAAGAAGAACAAGCAGTAAATAAAAGTTAGATATTATGTTCCGGTTCTTTTTAGTTCCTGCATTTAGAAGCACTTAATCCAAGTAGATGATACCTCTGAGGCTCGAGGCCTCTTGGTCGGATTTTCTTCATAGGCCGCATCAACGATATCGGCAAAGTCCTTACTGGAAGTCGGTATCAACGTTCGACTCGTGTAGTTCAAATCAGATCGTGATCCAGGTTTATGAGCTTCGAGAAGTCTCTAAAATACCTTACTAAATCATCTAAAACATTATGCTTAATCCCAAAAAAGAGGGACCTATGGTAAGAGAATGAATGTTTTCTTGTAAGGAAAAATTAATTAGACACGTTTATGTGACTCGTGAGGGCGCGTGTGGCTTAGTGTTGGAATGTGAGCTGCAACGCACATGGGACCGATTTCGGCGCTCCTGGACTGAGCCTTCCGTCCTTCCTGGGTCGGCAAATTTGTACGAGATTTCGAGATTTGTCTGGAAGGATGGCAGCACTGGCTTCATAGATCGGTAGACCTCTAGGCCAAATATCCATTCAATCCCCTCTGAACAAGTCTAATGAAGTTGAATGCAAGGCGCATCTCTCAGAGATTGATCAACGCTGAGAGCTTCATCTTTTACCTTTTTTTAAATCACATCTGGCCTTTCTAAAAATTTTCAGTGGGCTGTAGAAATACCTAGTCAGTGCCGCATTCATCTCAAACAAGTTTGGTACCAATTTTCGGATCCTAATTTAGACTTGAAAACCCGAGACACGAGATCAAGCCATCGACCTCGTTTGTGCCGCAGGGCACCTCGAACCACCACACTAAATGTGCCCTGTGGTGGATAAATTGGTACATGTTGGCGAATAATAGCTCTATATTTTACTTGATTCGAAAACGATTCCAGATGATAAACTCTTTGTTCGTGCTTCATCGCGTTTCTGCACCCTTCCTGAATGCACGTAACTTAGCTGTTGAGCACGATTCGGCCACATCTACGAAATCACTACAAGCTCTCAAAACTGCAGAAATGTCTACATGTGGACAGGTTTTGTTCTCTCCACGCCACCTCGATCAAATACCAACAGGGAAGTGATCGAGATATATTGTCGATGAATGACTGTTCGGGTTTTCCTACTAGAGCTAACTTTATGTAAGCAGCTAGCACACTGAAAATTCCATGCACAACAAATACTGCTCATTTATTACACCTATTCCAGTGTAATTGATTGTCGCTGAACGCAGTGGCTAAAAAGGAGAGTAGACAACGATCAATTTTTGAGAAATGCGCCATGCCTTCGACTTCGTCAAGACTCGTTAGAAGATTGGATGCACGTCGAGCTATAGAATAGCTTAGGTGACCTATCTACATGTTAAGTAAGTGTTTCTATCTTTCCAGACAAGCCTGATACTAACTCACTGACCTAGTAGGAATAGAAGGCTTGCTTACCCCAGAGCGCAAATACCTATGACGGGATTTCGATGGCGCTACGATCCGTCGGTCTACGTACTCGTTGAATACTCTCAAAATATTCTCAACTTTAGGAATAAAAGATGCAAGAATTTTTTTCTACTAGGTTAAGCCTAGCGACGTTTCGCAAACCTCGTGCAATTCTTGTGTGGAAAGCGATAAGAAGTGGTCTTGAAATGGTGCAAATCGGGTAACCATAGCCACAAGAACGCAACATGCGGCCCTAAACGACGAAAACGAAGAAGAATTTCCGTAGACGTTCTAGTGAACAAATAGAACAGCAGGTTCTCCTCTAATTTCCAGCTTTCTCTCACCAAATGTCAGCTGGTTGACTGATTTCTGACCAGGAGTCCATCGTTTTGAACATTTCCGGAGCACAATGAAGAAGTGTTCGCCTTTTATGGCTGTCATGTGTGGGAGAATCTAAAAAGTTAGCTTGATATTATTTGATGCAGTTTGTTCCTATTTATGCTAATAAGAATGTTTAGATGTATACGATATAAATAAGCTGTGGTCCTAGGGAAACGGCTACGTGATTAAAAAGTACTTGGAAACAACAAGAGAATTTAAAAGAAGTCTTTTTCTTAAGTCCTTCCAAGTACCACATACCACTTTCTTAGGTCCACATGTTTAACTTGAATACGTTAACAGAAAAAATGAAAATACCAACGTGGTAAGGTAATATCGACAACCTGGATGCTTCCAGAAAGCGTCACTAGCAAATTTGAAGCTGAAAATGGTAAAAACTTTAAAAAAAAAGTAGAAGAGTTTCCCGAAATAAAATGCTATTGCATAAACTGAGCAGAAAACACCAGCCGTTGAAAACATTAATTATCACTGTCAGTCATGGCATTGTAACTCATACACTACTATCTATTGGTAGCTAGTAAACTCCGCATTACCAATCGCCCTCCAAAGTGGTCAGCGCTTTTGTAAAGCACACGGAGAGGAACACGGTTGGTATGATTCCCTTTTTCTAATGTTCAGGATCGGAAAGTTGCAACGGGCAGCTCACAGGGGCTCTGCCATGACATAAGTTTATACTTCGCAGTCCTTGTGGAGTGAATCTGTCGAGCATTCTATGGCGAACGATGAACCCTCCTCCGAATATTTCGATACCCATAAATAATGATAGAGCACGAAAAACTTGCGAAGAGATTTCTCACTGGTATTTTCTTAATAAGCAAGCATGGTAGATAACAGCAGCAGATTAACGTGATAAACGGATGTTATATCGTCTACGGGATCAGTAGTTGAAAAAACAACTGACTTTTTATGCCACCGTGAGTGACGTTACGTTCGTGTAGAAACTCAAGTGCTTCTAATAAGTGTCGAAAATATCTAAAAACGTGAAAATGTTCATAAGCTGAAAAAGTGATTAGTGCTCCGTTATGTTACCAACGAACCATTCTAATGAAATGTCATGAAATCATATAAATTTATAATTCAACTGCAGTGGCTATACACTATTTCTCCCACCTGGCTTTGTAACAAAACATTTGTTTTTTTTTGGAATTTAACACTAACACAAGGGCGCGTGTGGCACAGTGGTTGGAGGCGCCACTGCGACACACACGTGGAATCGATCCTTGAGCCCATGGCTCACCAAGCCTTCCATCCTACCAGGGATGAGCAAATTGGTACCAGACTTGTCAGGGAGGTTAGTAGCACTGGGTCGATGCATCAGTAGGCCACTGCGAGTCATTGTAATGGCCAAATATGCATTCAATCACCTCTAAACTATACTTATTGAAGTCGAATGCATGGCACATCCCTCAGGGATTGATCAACGCCGAGAGCTTTATCCTTTATCCTTCTCACACTAACATCATTAAGTAAAAAAATTGTTTCAAACAGCGGATTTTTTCATCCGATAGCAAAGGCAATGTTTTTCAGATAAATAAATGTATCATCGGGACCACCTATCACCCTGGGATACCACGTTATTCAACAGGTCTGCGATAGTTTTCAGTTTCCTTCTACATAAATATTAATGCAATTTTGGGCCATGTTCGCCGTAGTAAAACTTTACATTAGAGCTTTCTGTGCGTTTTTTATGAAGCGAGTCACAAACATTTCCAGTTCAGGTGTCGTTAAAAATATCCTGCCATCTGATTTTTAACTTCTGCTCATATCCAGGTATTGTACGAATCTTTACTGAGAGTACAAAGAAGTAATTGGGTGTAATTTATTCCACTACCCTTGCGTATGCAGTATACACTACATACAGGCCGATAGCAGTTACCCTGCTTCCTTGCTAACGAGCCACCTTTGAATCTTGTAGAAATTTCCCAAACGTCTTCGCCCGTAAATCCGTAACATCTTGTGTGAGGAACACAATGTTATATATATATATATATATATATATATATATATTCTGGTCACCAATAATTCTGAAAAAACAGCAGTGTCGAGGGCGCAAAATGTTTTATTTCCAATAGCCTTACGACGTTTATTATATCATTTGCCGAAGCATTACTCCACTCGGCGTCGAGGGAAGGATATCTAGAGCAATAGGTTACTGTGAATGGATTTGATCATCTCTCTTGAAGACCATTGTTAGTTTAATGGAACTTTCCAGTACGCACATAGAACTTCTACGTCGGTGGCGATTTAGAGCACGCTTTTGTATACTTCTCCATGGTTTAAGTGCAAGCATTTTTCTATGCTAAATGTAATCAAGAATCAGCATGTTACTAATCTCATCAAGTGCGATTGGTATGACTAAGCGCATTTGGATTCATTTCCGCTTAGCCCGAGGTGGCAATTTTCTCATCCGAATCTGCTCTGGTTCAGAAAAAGCGAATGGTCATTCTTAGCCGGCGTTTAACTTCATCTTCATATCTGTCACCTAGAGTATTCGCGAATAACAATCCCACATAGAACATCTCTGCACATGAATCAGTAAAATGGCAATTTTACCGTTTTTAGTGCCTATTTATTACTAGCTTCTGTGCTTCATGACTGACTAGAAAGGAAGAGGAAGTAACAGCACGATGAAACGTCATCCTATTCAAAACATAATTGCAAAAAAAGAAAGGCGGATTTTCGAATGGGCTGCTGAAGCTGAAACCCTTACTAGAATCTATGACCAGAATTGTGAATCTCTTTTGCTTATTTTGCTTGTAAAGAACAAAATTGGACAAACTACTACCAAACTACGAGAAACCAACTACACAATTTGAGTGCCCTCTCAACTCTTTGTCCACATAGAAATTCTGCCCGTTTGATGTTAAACTCAAAAGTAGAGCAGAACGATAGACTTTCAAGCGGATTCGTAAAAAATCTGAAGAAAAATCGGCAAATTACCAACTATTTTACCGTTTGGCGACGCATTCCTGCAAAGGAGCAGTTTTCAGGTGATCGGCCACTGTTCCAGACGGTAGGAATGTTCGAAAAATTGAAAGCCGACCGCCTTCGAAGTGATAACCATAGATGCTAAAATACGATCTAAACACCTTATTCACACGTCAAAGCACAGAAATACACATACAAAGCTTTCTCAGTTTTTCTCTCACCTTCCGATTCGGCGATATCGTAACGTTGAGAAAAAGTCCAATTGGGCTATGATCTCCTTTATATCCTAAAATAATCCTTCACATTAAGAAAAAACCATTTTTAAGAGATTCTACTGGAAATGAAGGCCTTTGGTTAACAAATAACGCAAGAAATGCTATGTGGTAAAAGAAAAATGTTGCCAACCTCTTTATTCATTGATTTTATGTCCCATTCAATTACAGCATAATTTGCCATGGTTGCTCTATTGATAAACCTCGTCACAATACCAAACCTTGACCGACCTTCACTAATTACGGCTGAAGATTATGGTGGACAATTTGAAATGCAGCTGGACTACTTTTATAATTAAATTTGCTAAGTCGAATGCATATATATATATATATATATATATATATATATGCATATAGAGAACGCGTGTGGCGCAGTGTCGGAAGCGCCTGCAACACACACGTGGAATCGATTCCGGCTCCCATGACCCACCAGCCCTCCATACCTCCAACGTCGGGAAGTATGTGTTAGACTTGTCTGGGAGGATAGCAGCACTGGCTCGATACATCGGTAGGCCACTGCGAGTCATTGTAAAGGCCAGATGTGCATTTAGTCACCTCCAACGGTGCTTAATGAAGTCGAATGCATGGCACATCCCTAAGGGACTTATCAGCACCGACAGCTTCATCCTTTGTATGTATATATATATATATATATACGAATATTTGGACTGCCGATAGCTGGTTAGACGATGGGCAACTATGCTTTCCATCCCTTCGTGTTCGGCGAACTCTTAGCAAGCTTATTTGGGAGTAGTTCTCTCTGATCCACAAAGGCTGGCACGCTTTCGCGGAAGTACCACGGTATTCGACTGAGCGTCAATTATTCGAGGTTTCAGTGATACTCATAAAAGAGGAAAAGTTTAACTAGTAGCTGAGTTCGTATGCAAATCCAGAAAGCTTCTTGGGCTACAAATGCAAATCAAGAAGCTGAACGGAAAATATGGCGGAATTCGCTCAATATGTCATCACATCATTTGCACTGAGGACTAATTCAATCTCGTCCCAAGTAACAGTGCGATCGTAATGGTGACACAGCGCCTTGGTGCCTACCAGTTACATTTTAGTCGCCAGATGTCGAAAATGTCATTTTCCGTACTGTATGGTGACGACCTGACAACAGCTATTTAATAACATAAGGATAAAAAAGCTCTCGACGTTGATCAATCCTTAAGGGATGCGCTATGCATTCGACTTCATTAAATATCGTTAGAAGTGACTGAATGCATATCTGGCCTATACAATGGCTCCCGGTAGCTTACCGATGCATCGAACCAGTGCTACTATCCTCCCAGTCAACTCTGGTACCTATTTGCCGATCCCGGAGCGATGGAAGGTTTGGTGGGCTATGGGCGCAGGGATCGATTCCACGTGTGTGTTACAGGGCGACTGCGACCACTGCGCCACACGCGGCGCTCATTGATAACAATTAACGCCATAGCTGAGCGATTTCATGCCTCCAAAAGGCTATCCACAGTGACCTTAGGCTCAACATGCAACGTTGGAGTGGACCGTGTATAGTTTATCTGGCACAACATTTTAACATGAATGCTGGCTGATTGGACTTATTTTCCTTCCCGCCGTATAGAAAGAAATCAGCGTCTTATATTCCTTTGAGTAGAGTGCAGGTTATAAATCTAAATAACTCACAAAGTTTCATCATATTGGCAATAACTGAGTCCGATAGCCTTGGACACGGAAATTCATGAGTGGTGCCGGAAGGAGTGCACGGACGAGTGATACTGCTCTGTAAAGATCGATCGTTTTCTGGAAGAGATCTCAAGCAATTATTTATGGTTTTATTTTAATTTTATTTCATATGACCCGTCTTCACGGTCACTGGGTGGGTTCCACGAATTCTTGCATTCGATTTGTTACTCCGCATCAGGGACCCACAAGTCTTCATACTTTTGCTCTAGTGTTCGAACGCTACTTTTGAGTTCACTTTCACATAGGATGTCGAGAAATGACGTTCAAATAGATTCTTCACAAGTCCTGTAATAGTCGCGATAAAGCATTCTCACGTGGATTAGGGAGAGTGGCTGATCCTAGGCAAGTCCGCCGGCTGTCCTCCAACTCCGGAGAAATGGGAAGCTTGCTGCTTACAGTGTGGGGTCAAACCAGGACCAAGCTCGTGATAAACAGCATTCCTACCACTTCGCAATCCGCTATCATCGCAGGCGATCAGGTTTTATTATTACAAACGGTTACATTTCATTAATCAAATTTGGTAATCGTACAAGTGTTGATTTATATGGCGTTAATATTTCAAAATATTGCAAAAGAAACTCCCACGAAAGCGGCTCTGAGGAAGGCGAAATCGGCCGAAGCGTCAGCTATGTTCGTGAATAAAGAATAATAACACCTCGCGTTTGCTCAACAAAATTACGAAGAATTGCTGGTATTGCAAAAGAGTTATTCGCAGAAATAAAGCAACCATTTTTAACAACATTAGTGCGTAAGGTTTTCAGCTATTGTGTAAGCTTCAAATTCTTCTCTAAGCTATTAAGAGTTCAATAGTGTTTTCACCATATTCGAAACGGATCCCAGTGACCCTCTTAGGTTCCTACAGTTAGGATTTGGCGATCACATTGCACATAGTAAAATCTAAACCTCATGAAAATGACCGTGGCTGGACACTGCATAGAGTCTTCCTTGCATCGCAGCCGAAATGCGCATTGAAACCGAGGTGTACGGTCCATGGACTATGCCAAAGGACAGACACACCGCGTAATTGTTCCTTTACTCCGTTTCGTCATATATTTTCTATGTCTCTGTAACTTTTACGTGTCCGCTATGTCCTTTTGTTTATGTTTTCATGTTCTTGAGCACTTCTCTTGTATGATGAGAAAAAAACCAATTTATTATCTAACAACGGTGTTATTAGCTTTCCTCATAATTTTCTATAATATTCGAAGTTTATCTCTATGACTGTTCCATGTTTCTTTCCATCAGCAGCTTCTATTCCAGTGTCCGAAAACGATTTTTAGCAAACATAGAGCATAGCATAGAGGACACCTCTCGTTGGTTTGTCCTCAGTGTAAAATTCGTGTTCGACTAACTGCCGATAGGCTACAAAAGGTTTAGGGAAAAGGCTGAAATAGGCCAGAATAAAAGCAGGCGCATTAAAATCAATATGTATGGTCCCAACCTCCACCAGCGCCCATATCGAAATCAAGGCGTGTATTAAAGAAAGTTCAGATAATTATTATTATAAGTTTTCTCTTACACTGTGATCTTCATCCAAAGCTTCCATCCTTTCCGTAGGACGAGTCTTGAATTCGTACTCCTCAGATTTCGTTTTTCTCCATTTTTCCCTCATTTCAGAAGCATAACGCGAGTTGTGTTCGCTTGAAAGAGAGCCGCTTTTTCGGGTACAAACATCTTCCGAAAACCGTCTCATAATTCGTGTTAGTGGTGCTTTCATTGGTGGGACGTCATCGTAGTCGCTTTCTTCAGAATCCTCAGGAATCACATTGGGTAATTCAACGCGGTCCGATAGCATCTATGAAATTCTTGCATACTTTCGGTATTGGCTATCATAGCGTATGGATGATATATCAGTGGTAAAAGTAAGATAGCTATCAAAATAAGACGAATGTAGAGACACACTTCTAAATGCGTTTGAGGAATCAGTCATAGGAGATCGAAATGAGCAAATGACTTTTAATGTTCACAAAAACTGATATAAACCACAGCTCCTGATACAAGGTGAGCAGGATGATGCAGTCAGTACTGAGAAAGAACGGAAGAGCGATTATAAGAAAATTGATAAAATACCGATTCAGTCAGACATCATGTTCAAACCAATCTGATTCGGAATGGAAAGAAGAGATTAAGAAACAATCCACAGCTCTCTTAGAGTTTTGTCGTTTCTGCAAAGATAATGAAGAGAGGTCTGGCGTATTGATTTGAAATGTACGGCTGAGGTTCATTCACTAGCTGGACCAACCAATTTGAACAACAGATCAAAACATCAATCTTGAAGTCACCGAATAGTTTGTTAATGCTGCATCAAAAGCTAGAAGCATTAGACGTAAAGGATCTCGTGCCAAAAATTTCATTCTGCTGGTATAGGTTTGATGTGAGGAGTCAATTGACGGTCCTGTCTCTCAATAGGAACGAATGAATAGTCTGCTATTAGTCAATGAGGGCACCAAACGATTAAACGGCATGCAGTCAACGTAGTTCTTACTTTACGATAACGCGAATTCAAGCTGTGGAAAGTATTCTGACCTTAATTATCGTCACTTGAAAACAGGGCGTTCTGGAATAAGACAATATGGACAGAAAGTAGTTATCTTTCTANGGTCCTGTCTCTCAATAGGAACGAATGAATAGTCTGCTATTAGTCAATGAGGGCACCAAACGATTAAACGGCATGCAGTCAACGTAGTTCTTACTTTACGATAACGCAAATTCAAGCTGTGGAAAGTATTCTGACCTTAATTATCGTCACTTGAAAACAGGGCGTTCTGGAATAAGACAATATGGACAAAAAGTAGTTATCTTTCTAGTATAGTTAAAGAACACTAAAGTTAGGTAGACGAATGAATATACAAGCTCCTGCAGTTATTTATCGACGTTATCTACAGAGGGAACAATTTCACTGATAAGAGCAACAGTGCTGTGTGACCAACATGAATTCTTTCATTGATAAGCTAATACGAGGTTTATAAAAGAAGCTTTGTTCAACTAACGTTTCGACACCTTCGTCTTTAGAGCCGGATTGATGTGAGTCGAGTGTCCACAGCTGTTATTTCTTCCGATATGAGACTTCAGGGCGGTTGTTGTTGATGGTGAATGTCCGCTGATAAACGTCTGCTTTCTTCCAGACAATCCGTCCTGGAGAAGTCGGTATCATTATCAGCTAGCACAGAGCGTAAGAGTGTTTCAAGAGTAACTTTCTTTTAACCTTGATGTAACTAACTCAACGTGTATTCTCTCATTAACAAGCTAACACAAGGTTGATAAAAAAAAAAACTTACCGGGGAGTAACGCGTTCACCACCACACCATGCGGGTCCTTTGTTTCGCACGTCTCTCAGCTATTTCTATCGATCTTTTTGCCACAGCAATCACCCGTCAGCGGGGTTGATCTGGGGAGCGCAAATCGGCATAGAACCCAGTTAAGCTATGGCTGTAGTTGAAATCACAATGTTTTAACGTTTTGTTTTCTGCCTCCCCGGAAAGGATAATAGCGCGTTCGTTCCCCACCATAGACACCTGCGGTCCAGAGTTTTGCAAATATCTCAGCAACATTGTGGTTGTATTTCGCTTAGTAACCTGCCATGAAAATTATAGAAGGCAGAAAACAAAACGTTAAAACAAAAAAAACTTAATTCGGATAACTACTGCCTGAATCACAATGAAATGGGCAGCTGGGCAGAAGCCAAAGGGTGGTAGGACACGGTCGTAGCTTTAAAAAAAGCGGGAAATAACACGGCAATTACGATATTTATAGCAACAGGCGGTCTGTTGCAATACATAAGTTAGTTAAGACGATTGAATCGTAGGTGCTCTCATCTCTTATTAGTAAGAATAATGTTTTTATTTGAAAGCCACGTCGCCTCTTCCACCCGATTCACCAGGACCATTTCGGGACCACCTGCTTTACCGGGATCAAACCGCAGAAAGCTCAGCAACTTTGTATTATGCTTTAATACCAACCACTCTTAAAGAGGTGCTCCTCTGGTAGTCATTTAATTTATACGACATTCAGTTTTCGAGTTCCTCCGATCTTTCAGTTTTGTCTAAATGCGCAAGTTGTGCAAAGTTCACCAGTTGTCTTTAGTTCAGTACCTTCATCCAATCCTTGAGTTTATGCCGTTGTGTAGAAAGAACATACAGAATTTAGAAAATGCTATGTGTACAAAACTAAAATTAAGATCTGTTATAACGCAGTCCTATTTCGGAATGTTGCGTGCCATTCTTATTCAGATATCATTTTATCACTAGTAGCAGCAATGCGATGCTGAAGCTCAGTGCCTTACCATCACATGTGATCTGCCGCATGTTTTCAAATTGACTTTTTGAGCTGGGTAGGCCTCACTGGTCATTTTACGTGAACAACACACGGGTGGTCCCACACGCAACAGCATGATTAGTAACAGTGAGCAGTTTTAAAAAAACGTCGTTTGTTTATATGTTAGCTCTTTATTAATACTATAGATATACCAGCGATTTAAAAGGTTATTGACGTTGACAATCCTGTTGACAGGTGACTGCTGGTGGCACTGATCGATAGAACTAGTTGAGAGACATGCGCAACGGATGACCCGCATGGTGTGGTGGTGAACGCGTTACTCCCCGGAAAGGATAATAGCGCGTTCGTTCCCCACCGCAGACACCTTCAGTCCGGTGTTTTGCAAATATCTCAGCATCGTTGATGTTATATTTCGCAACATGCCCTGTCATTAAAAAGAGTGGGCAGTAAATAATAAGTTAAAACTGCTCTTACGAATTCGAATCCGGACGCATGAAGCACAAAAGTTGGAAAAATTTATGACCTATGAAGTAGGAAAAGTTTTAATGAATGCAAAGTGCAATGTTAGTGCCAAAAATTCTTTCTGACTAATTCGATGTTGAAGCTAAGGAAGGTCGCTAACATCCTTCCCACCATTAATGGGCGGTAAACTGCAGTTTGGAATAAGCAAATAGACCCACAACTGTTTCAGAATTTGCAAAAGGGTTCGTTATAAACATCTTATTTCAGAGTTTTTGAAAAATACCGGAAACTCGGAGAAGCTCGATAAGTGGTTGCCGTATGAACTCAATGGTCTTTTTCCATTGTGACGTGGTACCAAATGTAGCCCAACTGCAAACCTGTGCTGCAATGGTTGACCGAGCTAGACCACGAAGCTTTGCTGCATCACTTTACTCGGCGGACCGCCCGCCTAGCGATTATTATTTTTCCAAGCATATCAGCATTTTTCTTTGTGCCACTACTACTTCAGAAAACAAGGCTAAGCCGAATCTGCTTTCAACGACTTCATCGCCTATGGAACTCCAGCGTTTTGTTGCAGTTTGGAATTTTATTCAACCGAAGTACATAAAGTTGTTTCTTGCTGAAAAAATGTGCAGATTTTGTTATTTCTTACTTTGGTTGATAAAGTCTATTTTGCGCTGAGAAATGCTATTTTAAAGATGTACAGTAAAATCCTATAAAACCTTATGTATTTCCACGGCTAGGCTATCACTGCTTTAAGGCATGAAAACGAATGATAAGGCAAAAAAAGCGATGATAGTTGGTTTTTGACGATTGCCGAAAGGCCATCAACAAGCGCCTGAACTGCTTGTGATGATGCATTTTCACCTAACCTCTACTTGAAAAACACGATTCGCTTCCTGAATGGAAGCCGTTTTCGTCAATTTAAACCACTCAGAATATTTTTGCTATCTATGCTATTTTTGCTATTTGCTAATGCCAAAAATTCAAAAATGAACCGCAAGGAGGAGTGTCTTGTCATCACGCGTGACCTGGCGCCATACCTCAGGCTGATCCAATGANCTGACATGGACCCAGTTATCGACCATGTATTACTCTGTGCGGCGGCTATCCACCAACTAACTTAAATACTTACAACAAATAAACGGTAGGTGTTTGAATGAAGCTGTTTCTTATGCGAATGCAAATCGATTTGTCAAGTTTTATCTGCTAGGGTTATGAAAGTGTTTGGCTGAGTAGATCACATCTCAATTTGACCTTTCCAGGCTCTGAAGAAGGCGAAACCGCCGAAACGTCAGCTATTGTGTTCTAATAAATTCTATAATAACAACCTCGTGTCTACTTATTGATGAAAAACATTGAATTATCAATTGATGCCGAGGTTAACAGAAAGTCGGTCTTGGGAATTTTTGCTATCATTTAGATGAGAGTTATAACATGGGTTCAGAGTGTAGTCGATGAGTTGTTGAGCTTCGAAGCGAAACAATCCTGCCTGCCATTACTGGATTTATTCCTGCCACAATGTTTGTTGATGAATGTTAAACTATCGAAAGTTTCAAGCGTGTAGGTGAGATGGAATCGCTGGAACACAGCAGGCGTAACAGTATCATGTGGCGAATTCACCTTGCGGGCACTTGATTCACTCAGCAATTAATGCGACGATCAATGGGCTCATATTAGTTTTGGCTCGATTTTTTTGGTTTTAGAAAACTTTGATATTTTACCGTCCTCGTCATGCTCCTCGTATTCAACACTGCCGTTTTAAATGGTTTTTATGGTCAAAAAACCAGGACACGTTGCTTTCACTCTTTTTAGTCAAAAAATCACTGCGAGCAGCTCGCTATAAGTTTCGGGAATGCTTGCATGCAGCTTGCAGTCACTTAATTGTTGATGTCCCTAAAGGTCTAAGAAGACGCTTTCCATTTTTTTGGCTTTGGAATTTTATTTAACTTGAACCTCTCAACGGTTTACCGTCTCATCGTGGCTGGGAGGTGTTCCTAGCCGTCGGGCTGCGATGTACAGAGGGGGGAGGGAAGTTCATCCCGCTGCCAGAATCTC